ATGTGTAAAGACCCAATTACTATGTAGTCCTACATCTTAAATGATATCTTTTTCAATGGTTAAGGTGTATTTAAAAAATATACATTAGCTTCAAAAAATAACAATATTAGAGCTAGTGACTCCTAATGCTGCCTATCAATTCTTTAAGTAATATATTTCTAACTATGCTTATCTGTATATGTGTAAAACAAATACTGTATTTCTTTTAGTAAATATTTCTACTTATCTCTTTTTGTAGAGGGTTTTTCTTATAAATGCACACTAAAAACGCTTTTAAAATAAAATAGAAAAGCACATCAGAAATTTCTGTCATATCACAGTAGTTGTACCCTACTGTTCTACCTACTGTGATCATCTAAGAGGCCTCACTCCAACCAACATTGATGTACTTACTTTCCAAGTAGAACCACAACCAGTGTGGGGGTTCTGAAGAGAAACTGCATGGTTTGAATTCTGTCTCCATGATATAGTTCCACAACCTTTAGCAAACTAAACTCTCACCATTACAAAGTACAATATAAAGCATACAGAGGCTGTGCCTAAACATCAAGAGGCTGTTACAAGTACTAAATTATAGAAATCTATTGGAAGGGGCTGGGGATTTAGCTCAGTGGCGTAAGTGCCTGCCTTGCAAGCAGGCAGTCGTGAGTTCGATCCCCAGTACCGATAAAAAAAGAAAAAGACAAAAAAAAAAGGAAATCTATTGGAAAGGTATCAGCACAATGTACCCAATAAATGCTAGAGAATATCTTTAAATTTGTTTTGCTAAAAATTTATCTATTTTGATTTCTTCTATCATTCTATGAAATAAGTATCCCCATCTTGGAATCATATTCAAACTTAGATTCAAAATTATAAAGCTTATTAATTTATCTCAAATATTAAGAATAAAAGCAAGAATGGTATATATTTTTCTGGTTATTACTCTAGTTGCTTTATATCAAAAATATCTTTCCGAATCAAATTTAATTGATGGTCTATGGCTAGCATGTAGTTATGCAGCTAAAGTTCAGTAGGCCTATTCTAACCAACCATATTGTTATTTATACATGTGATTTTTTTTTTTTCAGAAAATGCTATTTGGAAAAAAATCCTACAGACAAATTAATATTCTACAATAATTTCTTATTAAACTATTCAGAAGACATGGAAATGGGAAACAAATAAAAGGCTAATTCAGGCTAATTAATTTAAAAAACAGGAAATTCTTATGGTTTAAAGTTGTAATTAATATGTAATAGTTCAATAAAGTTTGTATCAGATTATAAGACTAATAAATAAGTAACATTTATTACTTTGAAATTTAGAAATTCTGACATAAGGAAAGATCCTGAAAGAAAATTCAATACTGATGAAAGTATATTTTTGTGAACTAAAATATTTCTGTAACAGCACTCATTACATTGGTACATGATTCTAATCATGGTAAGTGGATCCTAAGTTCCTATACTTACAGAATCTAATTTAGAAGGCACAGAAAGTGAGGTAATTTGGGGACTTTTGTCTTATAAAATGCAAACTTGTTACTTGGAAACTGTTTACTAATTCTCTCAGGGCATTATTTCTTGGCTTCAACAGTCTTAAAAAAGAAAAGAAAACCATATATTTTTAAATTTGTTTGCATACTTAATGTCTTTTGCCTAGATTTTACACAAAAGTGCTAATATACTTTTAGAGTCTCTCCATATACAGCAAAAATAACATTGTAACAGACTCTTGTTTTACGTATTTTTCAGTTCCAACACAAAATTAATAACCAACGTGTGGTTGATACGTTATAAAAAAATAATTACATAGATGTGGTCTCTATAACTTGTCTTTTCATCTGTTTATTTTCCTTTATAGTCCACAAGCCTCCTATTTATCTTCCTCATAGAGCAAAAAAGCAGAGGGTATATTACATTTTTTAATTCACTACAATTAAATGAGTCAATGAAAAGGAAGACTACTTAAAAGACATATGGAAAGTAAACATACTTCAAAAATGAAAGCAGTATTACATACTCATTAAGCAATGGTAAGATGACACATGCTAGGAAGGACGTAGAAGAAATTTTAAAATGCATTTTGCTCTGAGAAGATGGAAAAGAAGGTGAAAGACAAAAACAGTAATACTTGAAAAGAACTAAGCAAAAGGTGATGACAGAGAAGTACTCTCAGTGATATTGGCACTATCCAAAAATACATTTTCTAGGCTTGCATAATTTTAAATTTTTTAGTAAGCATATTAAACAAGAAATAAAAACTAGTTAGTAACGGTGACATATTATTTCAACAGGAAATGCAAAAATAATTTTGAGAAATACTACATTCCTTTTTAGTTCTGTACTGCACACCTCAGGTTGAACTAGTCACATTTTAAATGTCTAACAGTCACATGTGGCCAGTAGCCGCCATAACAGAGAACACAGACAAAGATTCTTATATAATTCTAGTAAAATATATTGTGCATACATTGAGGGAAATTTAAAAAAAACATACTAGTAAGTAGAGCCTACATATAGACACAAGGTATTGAAATAGCTTTAAGAAAGATTTGTAAAGACAGAAAAATCACAACACCTGTTAATATCACATAACTTATTCACTTGGATATCTGCGTTAGAGAAAATAAGCTGCATCCTTTATACTCCTAGAAATTTATACAGATATATAAATACAGAAATACAGATATAGATTCATCTATCAATATTTAGATAAACACAATGCCACAATGAAGAGGTAATGTTATTTTATCTCTGATTATTATAGTCTTTGATTTAATGCACAACGTTTCAAATTACCCTTTGGCTATTAATAGAAATTACTAGACTTTTGTTCTTTAATTTACTATAAAATAACTATGTAAAGTAAGCATACTACACTAATTTTTTAAAAAGTTTTTATTGGTTGTATAAAGTTTAAAGTAATCAGTACATCAATATTTATTCTATTGAAAAAAATATTTATTTTATTGGAAAAAATTCAGATTTCTGCCTAAGAATTGCATAAAGTACACACGTACTTGTGAAATTCTATCATAATGTTTAACTTTTTCAACTTCAACATTCTTTATCATATAATAGTAATGAACAGTAAAATAGTGTGATCTAAAGCACACACCAACTACTTATGGATATATACATAAATTAAGGTCTGTAAAACTTGTATCACCTCATTTAAAATATTAAAATATTATTTAGGCCAAAATGATTGTGAAAACTATCCTACAATTTGAATAACAAAAACAGTAAATTTTATTATTTTTCTTCCCCAGCGAAATAAGCTATTTGGCCATTAATGATATTTCTAATCTTTTCAGCCTTCTTAAATTTTACTAAAAAATATATAAGGTACTAAAGACAAATAAAGTCTAAATTTCTACAACTGCAAATAAAATGGGTTTAATAATCATGTATTTTTTGTTAAAGTGTGAATATATTCCAATTATGTGAATTTAACAATTTCATAAATCATTTATGAAAGACAAATTTTCCCATAATTTACATGTAAAGAGAAAAAACAGACTTTCATTATATGGGTCATTCATTTTGTTTAAGAACATTTTTAGGTTTGAAAAACAATGCAGAAGAATCACCAGTCAAATACTAAGTGGAAATCACTGAAACAATGTTAGTTCTAATGGATGGATGATTGTGTTTGGTCTTTTGAAACTTTGAAGCATAGGTAAGTCTTGATCACACAAATTAATAAATCCTAAAGCTGGAGTTAACAATAACCATTACACCCAAATTCTGCAGCTTAGCCCAACCAATTTTTCAAAAGGTCAGGTTGTGAACTGGAGAAGATCAGGGAGGTCCACCGCATAGCTTTGTTGCCAGGCATCTCTCCTCTGGATTGTTGCAGGCATTTATTAGTATTCGTCAGCAGACTCAACAAAGCAAACAAGAAATTCAAGCACGAATAATAAAATGAAATGCTGCTATATAACCCTTTGTCATTCAGCAAATATGGGAGTTTTTAGCTACATTGTTCCTAAACCTGGGTTACTACTTTAATTTTTCTCCACAGTGCTGACTGAATGAGTAGGCATGTGTGTTAAATGCAGAGCTCCCCTAACAACTGCAGAACTGCCATTTAATCTGTTGGTAGATGGACCATTTCCTGTGGGAACCCTAGCTATGATTTCCAGATCCACCAAATAAATCTCAGATTAAGATTCCAAATGAAACCTGCCTTTGGCAGATAAAAAATGTCAAGATGGATATAAACAGTAAAATTATAAATTATCTAGGTGTTGCATGACAAACCAATGCTCAATTTTTTTGTTGACATGTGCCCAGATATCAAAACTATATGAGACATTCATCAAATGTCACACTTTCATAATATTGGAGGCATCATTAAAACTGTTTGACTAAGGACCTCAAAGTGTTTAAGCAGTAGCTCAAAAGTATATTTGTGCAAAGTAGAAGAATAAATTTACATATCAGCAGCAGCTCATAAGGGATGGGTAAATATTCTGTTTATCTCTCATTGTAATTCAGGTTATTTTAAATACAAGGTTTTAGGAAATCATTATACTCTATATGGCATCATTACATAACTTTCTATGTAAATGATATATTTCATTCAAATTTATCATTTGACTACATTACAAAAACACGAGGGTAAAAGGAAAAAGTAGGAGAGCTACTTCATTACCTATGACTGCTAAACAAGATTGTTGGTCAGTTACCTTTTAGTGTCATCAGACCACTGGTGAGGAGTTGGTATTTTAAACTTTTTTTAAAAAAGAGCATTAAGTACTAGAGATTAAAAAAAAAAAAAGCATCAGAAAAGTAAATTTGTTTTTTGATAATGTGTTCATTTCAAATGACTTGGGGGAGGGGCAGAGATACTTCAAAAAGAAAATAAGTAATGAAAGACCCATACAGAACATCTTAGAAAGTAAATGTCCTAATAAAAATGCAGAAGTCTCTGGTATTAGTTTTTACTGCACTCTCAGAAGATTGAGGACTGCTTTTTAATGAAAAAAATTTTTGTCTGTGCTTCTTTACCTGAACTAATGTAATCCTGTCGTACTCTTTGCATTGGTTGATTATAAAATACAGATGATGAAGGTTTCTGAAAGGAAAAGATCAGATTACTGACCTCCAACATTACTTGTTTTTAAACTTTCAGTTCTTAAAGGCAACTGAACAAGATGCTTCAATGACTTTATATTTTGCAGCATTTGTTTTTGATATAGATTTTGAAATCTCTCATTAATCTGGCAAAAGAATATAGAATATTCCATACTTTATATCCCAAATCTTAGAATTTGAACATAAAACTAAGATCTTATTTATACACTTGTTGTCTTTCTTATCATTTCTTTCCTTCCTTATTATTGGTTCAAGAAAATTAATGTTAAATAGCCCTTACATGTCCTTATCTGCTAGGAGTTTCTATTTATCTATATTTAATTCCCCAGGGTAGAAAAATATATTTATAAAGAAATATAGGTATCTTATACTTAAGTTGTTTATACTGTTATATAAAAATGTTCAAATCAATGAGCATTGTTAGTTATGTCAATCAAATATGATCAGAGTATACCAAATTGCTAGGTAGAGAGAATAATATTGCATTAAAATGATTTGTTAATTTCCAAACTAGTGAAATATCAGGAACTCACATATGTAGTTTTTTATGCAACAAATATAACTTTGTCAATATGAACTAACTGGTTTTCATTTTTCACCAACTAGCATCCTAATTTTTAACCACTAAAAACTTATATATGAAATCTAGAATCAGTCAAAATGTAAAAATGTAAGTCAAAATGAGATTGTTTAAAACACTTGTTAACTTTTTATTTTATACCATATCAATATAACTGTACCATTTGGCAAATGATTATCAATATCAACCAAAACCTACAGATTGTATTGGGACAGAGGTATAGCAGGGATTGAATGAAACTAAAGCCTCATGTTCACTAATCACACTATACACCAGTGAACTTCACTTCCTGCCCCCCTCAAAATATTTTAATTCAATTATTTATACTAAAATCTGCTTAACCAATTCAAAATTTTGAAGAATATCCTATCCTGTTTGGCTTTTCATATTCCAGGCAAACAAGCCAATCACAAAGAAAAATAATACTTGAAATTCTCACAAAAAGGCAGTAATGTCCTAGATGATAGAAACTAAATAACTAAAAGTTGGGGTATTTGGAGAACTCTTCCAAAAGATTTTTACTCTACTAATCTTGATATATTTATAAGTAAAAGAAGGGAATAAATGTATACTAAGTATGTAATTTTGCCATTTAAGAAAAAAAATTTTAAGTATTCTTAATATCTTTAAGTCAAGGAAGTCATTATCAGTCCTCTCTATAGTCAACCAGGATCAAGTCTTAAATTCACTAGATACTAATGTATTTAGGTCTTCTACAACAACAAAATGTCATTGTACTCAGAAGTTTATAAGAATCATAGAAAGGAAATCACAACAGTGATATTAAAGTAAAATTTTAATTTCTAGAAAATCAATGACTTAGTAATATCATATTAACATCTGTATTATAAATAAGTGTTCTAGAAGTGTTCTGGCATGAAAGACCACAACCAAAACTGAATGCGGATTTTTACTGAGGAACACAATCTTCAAAAAAGAGACTTTAAAATGAAGCAAAATAATTTTGGCATTAAGTAGTTTCTTTTACTTAAAAAATTTTGTCATATTTTAATTATCACAAATTTATAAGAGCATGTGTATTTTTAAAAAGTAGTTATTTCCTTGAAACAACAACAAAAAATAGAATCACAAGTTCTACAAACAAAAAATCATACTAACAGAAGGGAAATGGGGAAAAGGAGGTCAAATTAAAAGAAAAACATCATTTTTATAAAAATTCTATAATATTGAAGATCAAAAATGCAGCAAGAATTACACATGAGAAGTTCAGCCTGAACTTATTTAAAAGGCTCCAAATTTAGGAAAGAAAGGGGAAGAAAGAAAAAGAAAAATTCTATTATTTTACAGATTTGTCCTTTATTAAAAATTTATGGGGTGGTTCATGGATTTTAAAATGTATCACTGTAGTACAGAATGTTATTGAAGGAGATTGTGTATATATGAGGTAAAAAGTATATGGAATGCCATAATTTTCTCTTCCTTTACTGTTAACCTAAAATTGCTATAAAAATAAATTTTAAAACCCCATCAAAAAATTTTAAAAAGAAATACATGGAATAAACTCATCACTGTATTCATATCATAAATGATGATTATCAAAAGATGATTCAAAACAAATACTATATCCAGCTAGAAAACTACATTACTCTTGTAAATATTTTTTGGTTTTTATCCCATTTTTCTACTGACTAAGTGTAGTAACAGAATTATTTTTTATAAGAAGCTTTAAAAAAGAAAAAGAAAAAAGGAAGCACTGAATCCTATTATAATAAATCTCTTTAAATTAAATTAATTTTTTAAATGAAAGAATACAACATGAATCATTATTCCAAGACTATTCTCAGCATTTCCTCGGGAAACAAATTAATCCTTACTGGTCAACTGACAGGCTCCTACCAGTACACCCTCAAATGCTATAGATGGTCATGTTTGAGAAACTACTAGCACTCTATTAAGCTAGGTCCTTTGGAGCTAAACAGTAAATTTAATCAGACCTCATGCATTTTACTTTTTTTTTTTAAACATCTCTACGGCATATGGAAAATTCCTAAATTCAACTTTAAATTCATACTTGCCAAAAGAAAAAGGCATATATTCTGTGATGTCACTAGTCTGAAGAGTATTACTGAAATTAGAATTTTAACACAGACAAGATTAGACTTTACCTTACATAAATATTACTAAATCTATATTATATTCTACCAACCACATAAATACGGACTATGCTTCTTTGAAAAATCATATTTTTAATGATATTCAGTATTACATTTAAAGAATTAGAACAGCTAAAAAATAGATATTCACTCTAATTAATTTGCGATTTCCTTCCTCCATTAAACCTAAAAGAGTTTATAAAAATAAGAGATTCTACAACCATATTTTAGTCATAATCATCAACACTATGTAAAAACATCATAAACATAGGTTAACTGTTTCCTTAATTGTCTACTCATAAATAAATCATGCAATAGTTGCAATTATAATGCCACTGGATAACAATAGACAAAAGTTTAAAAAAACTGAATACCTTAAAAACAGAAAGATGAATGAAACAATAATAATAAAAGAAGCAGATAGTGGCACAGGTTCAATAAGCCAAGTGAAAATAAACAGTATCCTGACTTAATAAGGAGCTAACAAGACAGAAACTTGTAAATTATACCTACTGAAATAATTCTTTAAACCCATTAAAATCACAGTATAAAAGATACAGTAATCACTAGTCTAATTCTAGAGTTAAGAGAATAAAGTTTTCATTTTACTTAAATTTACCGAGATAAGATTTTTAAAAATATTTACTAACTTCTAATAAACTGCAACATGTAAGAATTCTATTAATATAAGTAGTTCTAGAAGTGGTTTTTCATTTTGTTTCATATAAGTAGAAAGAATCCTAATTGAGAATTATACTCACTTTAAGCTTAAAGAAAAAGATAACCCTAAAATTTATAATCCATATCTAAATTTAGATAATACATAAGAGGAGACACAATGTGTGCCAAATGCATAATAAATGATTCCTGAAAATAACAAAATTAGAAATAAAAATTCATGAAATGGTTTTTGTCTAAAGCTTCTTGGGTCTGTGTGATTTTTGCCATTTCCTACTTTCAATTAGTAAGACAATTTTAAAGAGAGCAGACTTAATAATTAATTTTGGTAGGCACAGAAACCTTTTTTAACCTTTCTTAGGGAACACTGACCCCTAAAGGTTTCAAATTTTAAATGAGTCTCATAATTTTCAAAATGTAACTCGTATCTAGTTCTTACCTTTACCTATATAATCGTAACTATGGACTTCTAGTACACATATTGATCCATAAACAATACACAAATTATTTCTGATGGATTGTTGTATACTATAAAACCATTAAATCTTGTCTCTGCTAATAAAAGCCACCAAATTTAATATAAGAAACTTAAGATGTTATTCCAAATAGTTACTCATAAAGATTTCTGAGCTCCACACCTCTTTTCTTACATAGTTAAGTAAATAACTACAGTCATGCTTACATTTTCCTTGGGGAATTGGTACCAGGGTTCCCCGCAGATAACAAAATCTGCAGATATTCAAATCTCTTATACAAAATGGTGTAGAATTTGTATATAACCTGCTCACAGTCCTTTCGATTACTTTAAATTACTTCTAGATTACCTGAAACTATGTAAATAGTTCTTATAATATTGTTTAGGGAATATAAGCAAGAAGTCTATATATTCTCAGTACAGACACAACTTTTTCTAAATATTTTTGAAAACAATTGGTTGAATTCTCAGATATAGAATCCAAAGTTACAGAATACAAATGGCTAAACAACAAACCACAAGCCAAATTCTTTCTGAGGGGTGACTTTGGATAAGCATAAACTTCCCTAGTTATTTCAATTCATTTCTTATAGCGGACAAAAAAATAGATTTCACAAAAAGGCAAAATAATTAAGAGGTCAGAAGATAGTTGATCATATGGCAATAGACACTTATTCACATCTATATTATTTCTATCAACTTTAAAAAATTCATTTGGGGTTGTTTTTAAGCTATTTAAAGAAACCCTGTAGATGTCTTAACCCTTTCCGACTACCAACTTCCAAGATGACCAAAACAATTTTAAAATGTAAAGGATTATATCTGTTACATTATCTAATCTATCAACTCCTTTGGCTCAAAAATTTTCAGCAATATTTATACATAAAGCCAGAAAAAGAATGACCACTTCAGTACTCTTTATAAAGAAATTTAAGAGAATGCAAAGGCATACCTGTGTAATACAAGTTTTAATTAACTCAATGCATTAAAAAATTTGAAATAAAATTAAGTAACTATTAACACAAATAGATTATGAATACATTTGCATAAAATAGAATGAAATAATTTGTGCTTTAAGATAAAACTCATGGACTTTGTTATCAAAATAACATGAGAGAGTTTACTATTGAAAAAGTTATCGTAGACCTCCGGAGATACTACATTTTTGTTTAACTTTATTTCTTATTAAGTTATTAATAAGAAATTAACTTTATTTCTTATTATGTACTTATTAAGAGCATATAATAAAAATAATGTCTTGTTTCTGTTGCCAATGTAAAAAATGCCTGTAAAACACAGATTTTCTTAATAGTATTTAAGTCACATTTTCTGAAGTCTGCCTCTTGCAAACTATGTAGAAGTCTAGATCATCACATCTACAAACTGCTTTCTTAAGTATTAAGAAGCTTCTTTGAAAACTTTACTGGTTATTTTACATCTATGAGAAGCACTTCTTCTACTGCCTCTATCTTTTTAGATTTATCAAAAAATAATTCCCCTGGTTCCTTAAAGATCTTTTATTCCCTAATGTGAACAATATGTGTTTTACAAGATAACTTGTCAATAGGGAACATAAGTAATATGCACATTATTTTTTGCTGACTTTTTCTTCCTTTATGCATACATTAAGTAGAATGCCTTTTGAGCACTTCAAAAGAAGAATATTTATTTGAATAAATCAATATAGCCACAAAAATAGTTCCCAACTTCAGAATAATACATTCTTATCACAAACTTGTACCTAAGTAGGGTGAAGCAAAATGAAGTGTCACATAATTTATGCATTACAACTATTAACCTTGCATTAAAAATCTTACTTTATTCAGATATTACATGTTACTGCTTTGTACATAAAATTCAATCAATTAACTGGATTCTAAACACACACAGTTCAGGGTTCCAAGGAAAATTACTAATGGTAGCATAACCCTAGACACATATTAGAAATGCAGAAATGGGGGTGTAGTCAGCACCTTATACATTAAAATAATACATAACTTTTAACTTATTTAATGTAATGATTATAGAAGTCCCTCAAAATAGTCTTTAACCTTCTAAAACAAGTAATAACGTGATTGGATAAAGGGTGAAAAAAGAGTTCTGCTGGAAGAGAGGGAACCAAAAAGGGGAGAGACTATAATCCTACATTTTAATCATAAAACTGAAAGAAAAAAATACATATAAAGGTTTAAGTTTCCAACTACAGATATTCAAAGTGATGATGCACCTCCCAAGGATTTCAAATATTTCAGTATTTTCCTACAGTACATCTTACACCTTCCTTGTCCTGCTCCATATACACACTGCACCCTCTCCCCTGCTCCCACTCCCGCTCAGCTCTTTTTTCAGCTCATCTCTGTCTGTCTCTGTTTAGACTGTCTTTAAAATGTGTTTCTGCCTCTGACTGTTCTGTCCCTCAGGCCGTGTCCCTCTCCTATCTGTATCTTTTTTGTTTCTCTCCTACTATTTCCTGGATCTCTCTCAGTCTTTGTTTCCATCTACACATTTCTGTGTATCTCTGCTTCTGCAGCTCCCTCTGAGCATGTCCCTCTGTGAATGCCGCTGGGGAAGTCTCATGGTGTGCAGGTGTCTCTGGATCAACATGTTCCTGTATGCTTCTGTCTCTCTCTCTTCTGTCTCCATGTACATTTCTCGTTCTCACTCTTTATTGCTACTTTCATATTCTCTGTATGTCTGTGTTTCTGGTGTCTCTCACTGTCCCCAAGTGTCTTGTCTCTTCTACCTTGCGTGTGTTTTGCCTCTTAAAAGTCTCTTCTCTGAGTTTGCGTATGTGTGCGATGTGCTCTCTCTCTGTCTCCTTCACTCTCTTTCATCTCTGTCTCCTGCGTCTCTCCTCCATGAATCTGTGTGTGCTTTCCCTGTGCGCCCCCCTACACGTGTCCATGTCTCTGTGCCTTCCTCTTTAATCATCTCCTTTTCTGGACTTCCTTCTCTGAGTGTGCGTCGTGTCTCTCCCAGTCATTCTCTCAGTAAATTCTACCTTTTTGTGTGTACATTTCTCTCATTTTCTTTCCTTGTGTCTCTTTTTCTACTTTCTCTCTCAAACAATTTCTTTCTTTGCATCTGTGTATGTGCGTTTCTCTCTGTAAGTATCTCTTTCTCTGTGTCTTTGTGTCTCTTCTGTAATATATGAGTCTTTTTGTGTAAGTCTCCTCTGGGTGTGTGTGTGTGTGTGTGTGTGTGTGTGTGTGCTTGTCTGCTTCTAAATTATTGGTTAAAATAAATACACTTCATTCAGTGACTTGAACTGCCATAACACCTGGGGCTTGGCATTAATACCTTAAAAGACCTTACCTTTTGACCAGTCCTCCATTTGTACTTCTGTTCTTGTTTGCTCTGGCAATGTCCCTGGTTTTTGCTCCAAGACTGAGGCTAAAATAAAGCCAACTCTAGATAAATAAACTTAAAACAATATAACAGAACACACCTAAACCTTACCTTTATTTGACAGAGAATTTACAGGATAAATGGTTTTTTAAGACAAGTATGACAAGACAATTAACTCTGTATTTTCAACAGGTGAAATTAAATTTTTTAGGAAAAGTTTCTTTTCTTCACAGTTATGTTTTCATAAATACACTTCAGGTTAAATTTTTAGATATCCTTGCTCATTTGGTTAGAAAGCATTCAATGTATTTAACTGAAATCTTCTCCAACTAAAATTTCATTTGTTTACAAAAATTTTATTGTCTATGCTGTTTTATATCAAAAACTTAAAAACATATTGACTTGAATTTACTGTGCATATACCCACATAAAACATTTAACACCTGTAAACCCAATTTAATGTTATCATTTTAATTGTTTAAAAAATATAAAGACCACTATCAACTTGTCAAATAATTGTTATTTCTCTCTTACATTTATTTTAATAGTAAACATGATAAAAGCTAAGCAATTTGCGGGGGGACATGGTTTTAAGGAGAATAAAAGTAGATTTACCTCACAGCTAGAACCCTGCGTTCTTTAAAAAGTCCTCAAATAAAGCTGTAGTAAGCTTCTCCTTTTCCAATTTTCTCTAAATATGTTGATCTGGAGTTGGCAATCTTTTTCTAAGTTCCTCATTTACTTTTGGATTAGCTGAAAATATAGGAAGTTATTAATATCAAAGGAATATGTTCCAGTCAATGAAGCCATTTCCCTACATATTGCCCAAAAAGGTTAATAATAATTGCAGTATTTTAATAAGAGATTCATATAGCAAGACATGTAGAAAATACAGTCTTTAATAACCTCTGGAGTATTTTAAAACATGTCTTACAGGCCTTAATGTGCTTAGTAATATACTATTTAAAACCATAATTTTATCCCTCTGCACTATACAGTCACTCTTCCTCATCATTTACCCAGCTAATGAATGCCAGCAATTAGTAAAATGTAATCCCATTGCACAATCATTTTAATGCTTTTAGCACTCAGAAAAGTAAACACCAAATTAATACTGCTCAAGCCATATCAGATCCTAGTTGGAAGCAAGCAATTATAGTTCAGCTCCTCAGGTGTAATTAAATGATTGGAATGATTTAGTTCCATAAATGCAAGTTAATTCATAAGCAAGCAACAAATATACTGGGAGTAATTACAAGAAACATTGACAGTCTAAGCAGGGCAAATTCTTTTTAAGAGCCTGACATAGTAAAATGCTGCCCTCTCCTGGGCATACAAGTGAAGATATCAGAGCCAAAAACATCCAGCAACAAAACCTTTTTAAAAGCTGCTAGAAAAAATGACTAATATATCAGTTTGATTTTGTTTCCTCTATCAAATCTATATGTTTTATATTACAATAATTTATAGATACCCACACAATTAATTCTTCCTAATAAAGTTCTCAGTCTGAGTCCCAAAACACACTGGGCAAGCCCCAAACTTTTAATGACAGTCAATACCTTTGATCTATCAGTGGTAAGGCTTACCTCGGTTGTCACACAAAAGAATAAGGCATGATTTCTAAGTAGCAAAATTTGCATAAAATATAAAACAAAATACTTAGTATTACTGTGACTTTTCATGATACACTAAAATTCTTTGTAATTAATACTAAAATAAAAACACACTGGTATAACTGTCATAAGCATATTTTAAAACATAAAGTGTTAACAAGTATTACACAACATAAAATGCATGCTGGCCTTAAGGCATCTTCACCTTGTTACTTTCTTAAGCTAACATTCAGGATGAATTTATTGTGCATTACTCAGCACACCCTTAACTTTTCAGACTAAACTTTCAAATCTTATTATACTTTTAAGCTATGATACAATCAGTGAGTCTGTGTTAAAAACACAGATTTGTAAAACTAAACCTAATGTTTATCCCTTTGCTTTTCTATAGATTTCAGCAGTTCTTTAATAAAATATAGTAATTAGCACAACAAATGTTTATTTCTTTAATAAATGCAAACAGTACATGAAAAAGACAATGTTTAACATTATACCGATATCATTTGGAAAGAGCATTAAATGGATGCTCTTTTAATTTGCTTTCACATGATTTCAAAACATACTCTAAATTATAGCCTGTGCAAACTATAAAATAAATCAAAATATTAGAAAGTCCTGTCACTAAGTTTAAAATGTACAGCACATTTGCTTTGCCCTTGATGTCAGAGTCTTATTTTTTCAATTCATATCTTGTACACTGTAAGTTAATTGCTTTTGGAAAGTACTTATTATTCATGTAAAAATTAATGTGCCAATGTGTTTAAATCCTCTTAAATGACCATTCATGCATCTTTCTTCTTTAAGTACCAATGAAATCTGTCAAAAGACATCAATGCAAAATGATCTTAAAGCAAGTTGTAATAGAGAATTTTTTCTAACACAAGATTTTCATATTCACTAACTTTACTTAAATTCCATTAATTTTTTAAGCTACTTTTAATAAATTCACCAAGTAAAATTTTTAGGCCCCATAGTCTATCATTTGTGTTCCAGCTGACATTATGAATATTAATAACAGTGTTATCCTGATTAAATAGGCTTCATATAAAATCCCTGTGAATCCTATAGCTCAGACATCTCATTTTTCCAACTCTTTATGAATTTGGATTCAGACATTAAACTGGAAAAATCTTTTAAAAAACAGATTTAATGGCACATTTGCATATTCTTAAGCAAAAATTAGATGTTTTAATGATCCAAACAATGAAAATATATATCTATGTATCATAATAGGAGTACATTTCCGTAAACACAAAACATCATTTTATCCCTGTGTCATTTTTTAGCACAAAAGATTAATGCTAAAAAAATACTAATTCTTGTTCTTATCTTAAAGATTTAAAACTAACTGGATATTTACAATAGACAATCAGATAAACTGGGATTCTTTTTGTTTTCTTGCTCTTCTAGGGTAGAACCTGGGACCTCTCACGTGGTAATGCTCTACTACTGAGCTATGTTCGCAGCCCTAACCTGGACTTCTTATCCAAAATGCTAATTTACTAAAAATAAAATGTAAATTAACTTTTGTTATTATTAATCTACACTAGGCTCAAAAAACAGTAAAATCAATTTGCATCTAAAATCTGTTTACAAATTGCACTGTAAAAGATTATCTATGTTTACAAAAAACCTAGTGCAACTAATATCACACACAATATTAGCATCTGTTCAGTTAAAATTTTCTCCATCACAGATGCCTAACTTCATTTCTCTAAGTTATTTTAAATCTCTAAGAATGTGAGTCTTATTATATAGGAGAAAAGAAACTAAATAAAGAAAACTTCACATTCCTCTCTCTAGATATATGGGAATCTTAATATATCTGAAGTCTCCTATATTCACCAATCAAAAAACAGATTAAAAATTTAAGCAAACATCTCTAAGCTCTTAAATATGACTTGACTCTTCCTGTTTTGAGGGGTTTTTTCTGTTTGTTTTGTCTTTTTGAAACAGGATTTTGCTATGCAGTTTAGGCTGGCCTCGAACTCACAATGATCTTTCTGCCTCAGTCTCCTGAGTTCTGGAATTACACACATGCACCACACCACCCGACCTTGACTCCTCTTGTGTACTCAGCATTAAAATAATTCACGCAACAAAATTTGTTTTTTGACTAGTTTAAAATGTCTAATTTGCCTAAAAAATTGTAATTAATTCTGACATCTACCATTTAAAATTGAATAGCTCCTTTTCATAAAATAGTACTTAAAATCTTATTCCCCATAACAGTACCCGGGATTTTGTAAAATTTACCATAAATAGGGGATGTCCTTTCTTCCTTTAAAAGCTTATTGCCTGTTTTTGGCTGATGACATTGGGAAAAAAAAACTATAATATCCCTTTAACTTAATTACAAATTTGTGCAAGTTGAATCCATGACTCAAACTAGGAATCACTTAAAATACTGTACTGTATCCAAATAATACTAGAAAAAATCGATTTTTTTGTTTCATAAATGGAGAAATGTTGACAATTTCTACACTAGAACAATTTCATTAAATGGCCAATGGGAAGCACCGCATTTCACAGAGGAAAATATTACTTACTGTAAGCTAATCATATGTTGTACTACTGTATTTTCATCTCATTATGCAAGACTCTCAAACACTCAAAGTTCTTGATAAAATTATCTCCCCCAAAATATTCCACTTATGCAGTGTATCCACTCCCTGGCATGCACCAGCAAATTAAATTCTTTAGAGCTGGGTTTGTAAGAAAAGATTCAGAGAGAAAGAATAAGTGATAAAAGTGGCTTTATATTATAGCTATTAAAATGCACATACTATTTGACTCTAGAGTTCCATAGCTGAAATGCAAAAATATTAAAATATATTTTTCTGTACAAAGATATTTGTTGAAGCAGTATACTGTATTTGAAAGAGCAAATACTTACGTACCAATCATGGGGACTTCCTTCTCTAATTCACCAAGGATTTTCTTGTCTTAGAGCTTTTACATTTGCTGTTTCTGCTACATAGACTTTTCTCTGTTTCTCCTAATTTTCTCTCATTTTAGCTTTGCTCAAAAGTCATCTCTTTAAAAAGGCTCTGCCTGGTCATCCTATCTATAACAGAAATTCTCCCCTCATCACATTGCCTACACTACTGCATTCATGAAACTGTCATGGTTAGCTTTTTTTGTTTCTTATACCACATCTACTATTTTGAAATTCTGTCATTTCTATCCTTTTTCCTGTTTTGTTTTTTAAAATAAAAAATATAGCTCAACTGTACAGTAAATCTATATTGTATATACCACAAATTTAAGGAAATATGTACTATGTATGGAAGACTCAACAATATTTGTTAAACAGCTTATACTATGATCCAGATACTGTTCTAGGACTTACATACAAAATGATGTACAAGACAAATCAATTTCTTAAACAAATACATCCCTGTCAAAAATAAAGGCATAAAAATGAATAAATTAAAAAACAGATAAATGTCAAACTATATGTGCCTATGTATAAAAGGTTAAGTAGGCCTGTTTTTTTTCTAGATAGATACACAGAAATTACTCCCAATGATTAGTCTCAAGAAAGGGCTTTGAAGGCTAGACATAGTGGCTCATGCCTGTAATCTCAGTATTGGGAAGACATGGGCAGGAGGACTGCTAATGAGTTTAAGGACAGCCTATGATACAATAGTTCAAGGTCAGACTAAACAACATAGTGAGAGTCTGCCTCAAAAAAAAAAAAAAATAGAGCCTTAACAGTTGGAGTGGGTAAATTGAGAAAATAAGGAAAAGAAACATCTCTCATTTATATGGTAGCTATATATATTCTATCTATCTATATGATATATTGTACTATATAGATAGATATTACTTAACAGATATAGATATATTACCATCTGCCTGTATTACTTTTAATAATTATAACTTAGAAAATTTTAATAGGAAATCCTGAGCCTGTCACATTACAGCTGAGAGTCAAAACGAAAAAAAAGTGATTTTTGTGACTCTTGAAACTTTGGAAAAAATATTATTTCCTAAATAACTTTTTGCAGTTATTTGTTGTTAGGGATATTTCTTTGTTTGCTTGGTTTAAGGAAAGTGAAATCAAGCTCAAAGCACACTAAAATATAGGCCAAAAAATTGTGGGAATAAAAAGAGTTCAAAATGTATGAAAGAGTATCTGCAAATTAAGCAGATTTTTCTCAAAACTACATTTCTTAGTTCACTCAACAATTCTCCGTAATAATGCTAAAGTTCAGGAGTCTAAAGTTTAAAAATATACAATGAAAGCATTCTATATTATGACTTTCATATGTCTATGTTATAGATAATTTCTTTTTGATATATGCTGTAGTGATCATTAAATCACTATCAAAAACAACTATTTTCCATAAATGAAAGTCACTGTAACAGATAACTTTATGTATCAACTTTATAGTCACAGGTGGCCAGCTATTAGTCAAGCATTAGGCTAAATCATGTATCAGGATTTTATAAAATATCCTGAAATGTTTTGTACTAAATCAAACTAATGTAAATCACTTTTAATCTAGCACAGAGCAGAATACAAAAACAAAGTTTATACAATAAATTCTCCAGGGAACAAACAGCCTGATTTCTTAAGATTCATGAGTGCCAGGTTCTGACGCAATGATGAACTCTCTACACACAGGCTAACATTTCTACATAACTAACCAAAGTTCTTGGCATATAAAAGGTTAAAAAAAAAAGAATCATTTGAACAAGTTAAAGTTGGCATATAAAAGGTTAAAAAAAATCATTTGAACAAGTTAAAATAACAATTGTGAAAAATGGCTACTTGAAATCAAACAAAAACATCAGCAATCAGAAAATTTCATTTAATAATCTTCTATAGTTTTTGTTTAATTACTATTAACAAAAAGATGTTAGAGGCATATGTATGAAAATAAATATAATAACATTATGCTTTGAGTTTTGAACATCTAACAATAATTTTAAAATTAGTATGTCATTTAGCTATGCAATTTGCCAAGATTATTGCATCAAATTATTCCCAAAGAGCAATGGTACAGGTAAATAATGTATTTTATTTGTAAAAATAGTACAAATAAAGACATCTTCTAAGTCACAGAAAACACTTACTAGAAATCAAGTGTTTAAATATAGCAAAATAAGTATCTGACATAAGGTTTGAATTTCTTATCCAATCTCAAGAAAGTCATGGCCACTACTCTTCATTTTCTGAGAAGTTACAAAACTCAAGTAATTTCTTGAATCATTCTTGACAAATGTTTTTACTAATAAAAACATATGCAGTAAGAACATGATCCTAAAATAGATATCCAACAGATAATTTAGTAAAAAGGGCAGCATGAAAAGAAAATACGAGAAGCCAAATTATACAGAGAAAATTTCCTAAAGACACAATTTTTATTCTTATAATTTAAATTTATAAGATAATTTCAACTATAATTCCATTTAAGTACTACACTATCTCTAGTTTTAGGACCTAGAAGTGTATGTTCCTTTCACTTTGTTTCAAAGGATACACTTTTAAAAGATATATTTTTTAAAAATCTCAAAATGGAAAATAAGCTATATTTTAAAATATAACATACAGTATGGTAATATAATAGTACAGCATTCCAGGCTGCCATTGAAAGGCTTGCCTCCTGCAGGCAGGCAGCACAGGCAGGGAGAAACAGCCAGATCCAGCCCTGTGCCTAAGCCACTATCAGGAAACTTGCCTGCCTCAGGTAACCAGATCAGGCAGGGAGAAAGAAACAGCCAGATATACCCCACGTCCCCCACAGGCAGCCATAGGAGACACTTGCTTCCCGTAGGCAGCCAGCACAGGCCAAGAGAATCAGACAAACACACCCCTGTGTGCCTGCTGCCATCAGGGGAGGCCCTACTATAGGCATGTAAGCTGAGAGAAGCAGCAACCCCACCACTACGCACTCACGGTCATCACGGAAGCCTCAGTGTAGCTGCACACGTCTGGAGAAGCCTTCTCCATGCCCACCGTCTCCCCAGGAACCTGGGTTTGGAAAAACTCAGGTGCCTGGTCCATTCCCTACACTGCGGAGAAGTAGCCAACATGGGAACTACTTGGGACCCCACAACTAGCTGGTTGGGAGACACCCAGGAAACTGTCAAAATGAAGGAGCAAAAGGCAATCTTAGACCTCCAGCCCACACAGAAAAGTCTGGGAGATAAAGACATAGAAAAAACTAGAAGTCACATACCTGAACTCTCTGAAAGGATAGCAACTGAAGTTTAAAAAACAAAACAAAACAAACAAAAAAAACTTCATGAGGCTACAAGTGAAATTAGATCAGAAATACTATCTCAGGTAAAAGAGGAAATGAAAAACATAATAAAAGAATTGCTGAGCATATCTAAAGGAGATACAGATTCAAAAAATAGATAAGCAAAGGAAAATGAGGGAAATCTTGGATAAACGATATAAGAAAGACTTAGAATTGCATGAAACACATTCAAAGAGACATCCCAGTAATTAAAAACTCCATCAAAAGCTGGCAAAATCTCTTGAAAGAGACTGAAGATAAACTTTCAGATCTTTTTTTTTTTTTTTTTTTTTTTTTTGTCTTTTTCCTTTCTATCGGTACCGGGGATCGAACTCACAACTGCCTGCTTGCAAGGCAGGCGCTTATGCTGCTGAGCTAAATCCCCAGCCCCCAAACTTTCAGATCTTGAAGATAGGATTGCAGCTAACTATCATGAAAGAAAAGATTTCTTAAAAATAACAAGAAAATAGGAAATAACAATTCAATTGATGCAAGATGACACAAAGAAAAATAATTTGAGTGATAAGTGTCAGCAGAAAAATGGTGGCCGATACAATGACATAAAGACTATTTACAGAATAGTAGAAAACTTCCCAAACAGAAAAAGGACCTGGCAAACAGAAAAGTGAGTCACATAGAACTCCAACTTGCCATAACCAAAATAAATCTACACCCAAACATATAATAATCAAGATACCAGAAGTTCAGCACAAGAATAGAATATTAAAGAATGTTAGAGAAAAGAAACAACCTATAACGGAACACCAATCAGAATCACAGACTTCTCAACATAAAACCATTAAGTCAAGAAGAGCTTAGAGTGAAGTGTTTCAAATCTTGAAAGAAAACAACTTCGAACCTTTCAAAACTACCTTTCAAAATTGATAGAAAAATAAGATACTTCCATGAGAAAGAAAAAAGTGAAGGAATTAATGACTACCAAACCAACCCTAAAGAGAGTGCTAAAGGATATTCTAGAGAGAGATGAAGATGACCAAGGTTCCAAAAACAGCAGCAAAGGAGGATTGCCAATCAGGACAGACAACTGAATGAAGGGGTAAAGGGCCAATGACAGAGGATAGCATGTCAGTTGTAACCATTAATGTAGATGACCTCAATTTACAAATAAAAAGAAATACAGGCAGAATGGATCAAGAAACAAGAGCTATCAATATGCTGTATACAAGAAACACATTTAACTTGAAAGGGTATTTATAGACCAAAAGTCAAGGACAGAAAGCAATTGCTTCCTGTAACAGAAAAACCAGAAAAGAGCAAGGTTAACTTGCCCATCAAACTTAGAATAGATAAGAAAAATATGGTATTTTCATGTAATGGAAAGCTACTCAGCTATAACAAAGGATAATTTCAAGGCTCTTGTGAGTAAATGGATGCAATTTAAGATTACACTCATGGGTGAAATGGTTTGGACTCATATGTGAACATTGTGTTATATCATAGCATAAAAAACTGAAGGAGTTAGTGGGATCCAAAATAGATATTATGAAACTGATGGAGGAGGAAATGTCTAAAAAGGGAAGGTGGTAACAATTATTAATTTCTTATTATCTTGTTCTGAATTCCTGTATTGTTTTCATGATTTTGTTAGGTTTGGTTTTATTCTGTCTTGTTTTGTTTGATTTTACTGTCTGATGGTATGGGCAGCTATTTTGAAAATAATGGATGTATTATGGTAACCATTGTTGATCTCCTATTTTCTGGTGTTTGCAGCCCTCTAATGCTTTCATTGTTTTGACTGGTTTTATTGTTTTGGTTTGCTTGATTTTACTATGTCTGACTGTATAGACACCTATTTTGCAGAAAACAAGAGACTTTATGGTAGCCACTGATTTGAACTCCTGTACTGCTTTCATTGTTCTGTTCTAATCAGCTTTATTCTGTTTTGTTTGGTTTTATACTTTTTTTTTTTAATCGGTACTGGGGATCAAACTCACAACCACCTGCTTGCAAGGCAGGTACCTATGCCACTGAGCTAAATCCCCAGCCCCAGTTTTATACTCTTTAAAATAAAAAAATATATTACAGCATTCTAGATAAGGTACTAAATAATCAATGTATGCTATTTTTAAAATACATTTCCCAAGTGACATTAAT